GGCTGGATTAAACTTCAAAAGGCAATGATGTCATTGAATAAATATGAGCGCTGCACTTTCAAGTCAAAATGCGGCGCGGATGTCTTTATTTGAATGTATCTGAAGGCAACCGGCTGTCCTCAGAAACGTGTCGTTGGCATTTTAATTTCATTTGACCTATAATTCCTGATAAAGCAGTGTTTATGAGCGCGGAGCTGCTTTGTGTACAGCCGTTAACGGGGAAACCACAGTATTTAAGCGCTAAAGCGCCACCTCGCGGCAGAGAATTAATTTGCATTTCCAACAAGCCTTTCTCTGTGATTATGGTCAGATCAATGCAAATATCAACTCATGTTTTTACGCAGCAAACACAGAGTTGTAAATGAGAAAGAAGTTAATAAAAGGAATTTTGTAATGGTTTAATGGAAACTATACGAATTTCTGTGATGGTTTCTATTGTTTTTTTCAGCAGGGTAATGATACCCATACTGTGCTGCACATTATTGGCAATATTGAGCTGAAGCTTGACTTTGCAAATTTAAAATCGCAAATCAAATTGCAATCGCAATATCTGTCAAAAAAAATCGCAATTTGATATTTTCCCCCAAATCGCACAGCCCTACCGTGGTATTGTTTTTTTCTTAGCATTTTTGTGCTTTTTGTCAATTCCCAATTCTGTCTCACACATTTTACCATTTTAAGTATACATTTTTCTCATGTTAGCCTGGGATGCTGATTGACATAATGCGAAAAAATGTAGTTGTCGTGTGACGTTTAAAAAAAAAATTCAGTGTCAGTAGCATTTTTGCCAGACTTGTTGAAATGGTTGGCGAGAAGTTCAAACTGCTGGTTTTTATTTACTTTCTCATCTTAACTTTGTAAAAATTTATATAAATAAATTTCACACAATGCATATTGACATGGTTTATTACCACTTTTTATGTAATGATTATATATGATGGATTTACATATTTTTAGGATCTGGCACATGGGTAAATGTTTCCAAGAAAGTTTTGTCACTTTTACTTTGCAAAAAAGTGGAAATGTGTTCATTTTAATAAAAATCCACCTCAAAGATTTAAAAGTGCCTGTAGTACCCTCATTCTTTATTACTTAAATGTCTTCAAAGTGACACATAGAGCTAAATGCCCAGGGTTGGATCCCTCTCAAGAAGTGTAATGGTACAAGATGAGCAAGACTTTTGAAATAAAAAGGAAATTTAGTCAAAATTGCACATTGAGTCACAGCCGGCACAACTATATGGTCTCAGGGTTCATGTAACATGCTGTATTTAAAGCAACAAGACAAGTGTGTCAGGCATTATTAATCAGTTTCCTGCACTGGTATCCTACAAGTTTGAGCTTTAATCCCACAATGCATTCTTCTGAATGTACAATCCCACAGAGATGCATGGCATATGTGTTATAATTTGTGTGTGGCGTAATGAACTGATGAAAAAACGAGGCAAGAGGGATGGATTAAGGGACGTATGGGAGGTCTCAGAGTTGCGTTGCGTCCCAGAAAAGCAACACATCTTCTTAATTGAGTGTTTTTTATTCCCATACGATCATCCACAGCTATGAGAAGCCCAAAAAACACCATTCTAGATAAGCATTTCAGCAGCTTTTCGTCAGTAAAGTGGCCATAACTTATTTCTTGGTGATTTTTGTGAGTGTGCGTGTGAAAAAGAGGCTGTTTGTTTGTTAAAAAGGGAAGAAGTAGAGCAGGATTCCACAATAACTGAATGTACAGCGCTTTGCTCGTGTGTGTACGAATATGTCAGTGTGTTAGTGTTTAGTGTCTCGGAGCATTGCTTCATCGTGTTGATTTACAGTTGGGCCTTGTGTGTTATCTGTTTTAAATCACAGCTTGGGCCATGAGCTGGCCAATCTCCAACCCACCATTCTCAAATTCAGCCCATTATACTGGGTGGAACCTGTTGGAACAAGGAAAGTGAGAGAGAAGGGAAAAAAGAGAAATGAGGGTGCCGATGGGGTGGTGGTATTGTTTCTTTTAGCCTTGTAAAGCACTTTGGTCAACACCAGTTGTTTTTAAATGTGCTATACAAATAAACTTGTATTGTATTGTATTGTATTTTCTTAGCGTTCATGTGCTTTTTGTCGTAATTCCCAATTGATGTAATTTTGGCTCATACCTCTCGTTTTATACCATTTTAAGTATGCATTTTTCTCATGCGGACTCTGGATGCTGATTTGTGTAATGCGAAATGCAAGTTGTCGTGTGTGTTTTTAAAAATTCAATGTCGGTTGCCTTCTTTGCCGGTCAACCTTGTTGAAATGGCCGACGGGAACTCCAAACTGCTGGTTTTCATTTACATTCTCTCTCCGTGAATTAAAGGGTTGCGTCAACGACACACTGCAGTGCTCGGAGGAACTGCCTATTTACATTTCTCACAATTTTCTGGGATAATATTTACCAGTTTTATGGCCCGAACACTAAGTTAAATCAGTTGTTGCTTGTTCTGGGTTGTCAGAAATTGTGGAGAACAGCCGGCTGCTTTTGGAAACTTCACTCAGGACAGCAAAAGCAAACAGGAAGCAGAATCTGTACACAGATGAGGACGTTTGCTGCAGCTGCTCTGTCCCTCTCCTCTGTTCTCCTTGTCACTCTGTAATGGCTTCTGTGAAGTGCTTTTTGTCCATGTCTGTCAGCTCTGAGGTCATTTATGTGCTGTAATGTATTCATAAAAAATGGCAAAACTTACTTTTAACAGATGTTTGAAATATAAACACTTTCTCTTTTGGGGAAAATACCCCACAGTTTTATCATCTGTCAGGTGAAAAAGTCAGATCAGAAAAGTATGGCTAGAAAAGTAATAGTTTCTTTTTTCCATTCTGTTTTGTTTTATTATTAATATAGTTTTAGCCATTCAAAAGCTTAGGGTCAGTACAAATTTTTTTTTGTAATGTTTTTGAAAATTGTCTCTTATGCTCACCAAGGCTGCATTTATCTAATTAAAAATACAGTAAGAACAGCAATATTATGAAATATTATTACAATTTTCAGCATCATTACTCCAGCTTTCAGTTTTACATGATCCTACCGAAGTCATTCTAATATGCTGATTTGGTGCTCAAGAAACATTTCTTATTTTATAACTCTTGAAAATGTTTGTGCCGCTTAATATTTTCACGGAAACTGGAATTTTTTCAGCATCTTTTGATGATCAGTCCAATGTATACAGAGTTGTGCAGAGAGTAAAGAGAGAGAAGGACACAATAAATTGTATTAATAAATAAATATTTACATACATCTATTTATTTATTTATTTAATCATTTATTTCATGACCTTTTCAGTATTCAGAATACAAACGTGCACACAGCTAAGCAGTGACGGTGTGTCTTTTTCCATCCCTATATAGCACAAAAAGGAATTCTTCACCTCTCCCCAGATGTGTATCAAGAAATGGAAGCGAGCCGGAATAAGGGAGTCCCCGGTGCCCCTGGAAACTACATGACACCCAAAGACATTGATCAAGGGTCCACAGGGCCATTCTACACCCCGTCGGTGGGCAGCACCGCAACGATTGCACGAGAGCTGCTGCTAAGCGGGACGTCGCCCACCGCTGAGGCCCTGATCCTGAAGGGAAAAGCACCTGCTTTGGCCTGTGGCTCCATCCAGCCTTCCCAGCAGCTGGAGTACTTAGCTCACATTCAAGGCTTCCAGGTATGGAATAAATGAAGTGATTTTGCAGATCTGTTTATCTCTCGCGCTCGCTGTCCACTGCTAGCTCTACCCAGAGAACCAGACCTCAAATTTCATAACATCTTTTGCGGAGCCTAAACTTGATCTGCTTGGCTTGCACTGTTTGTCCATCTGGATGAGACTGCGGAAATGTGGAAGTGTCTGCTTCTGTCATTGATGTTTCTGCAGTCCAGGGAAGTCATTTCTCACAGTTACGTTTCCCTTTTCCTGTCTGTATACCATTGCAGGCAAGGGATAACAACCTGTCCTTAGATGATTAGTCTTCCACAGCTCTGTTTGTCGTAGGGCTGCATAATTATGACAAATAATAAAAGTTGAATTTTATATATGGAGAAGCTGCACTTTATATTCTATGTCTAGGCTAACACGCAATAAGAATAGCCTGCTGTCCCATTGTGAGAATGACTGGATCTGCGCTATATCTTACATTTTTTTGATCATGTACATGCACTTTTTAATGCCTTGCAAAAATAAGAAATAAAATAACTTTATTTGTTGTACATGTAGCGTCTACTACAGCGGATCTAAATATTTATAATTAATTATAACTAGTTATGATTAAGTATTCATATTTCCTTATGAGCTGATCCGCTACATACACATTACCATTCAAAAGTTTAAGTTTGGTAAGATTTTTCTATGCTTTTTGAAACAAGTCTCTTGGTTTTACCAAGGCTGCATTTATTTGATTAAAAATACAAATAATAATACAAATAATATTGTGAAATATTATTTTTAATTTTAAAATAACAGTTTACTTTTTTAATGTATTTTTGAAACCGATTGAAACTTTATAAAAGTCTTTACCTTCACTTTTGATCAATTTATGCATCCTTGGTAAATAAAAGTATTGATTTCTCCCAAAAAAAGTAAAAATCTTACTGACCCCAAACTTTTGAACAGTGTATTTATGTGTTAAAAATACAACATATAACAATAAAAGTAAACCGTATATTTAAGCATTTTTTAGTAACTATATATATATATATATATATATATTTACTAAAAAATGCTTAAATATACGGTTTACTTTTATTGTTATATGTTGTATTTTTAACACATAAATACACTGTTCAAAAGTTTGGGGTCAGTAAGATTTTTAC